TGTGTGTATGCTTTTTTGTAAGTGTAGTAGAACATGGCAGCACAGTTTGGAGCAAGGAGCGGGCTTGTTGTTGTTATAGATTCAGCTACTCGGAACAAGTTCCAAGTAGCACGGGCTATGGTGAGCCCGTAACTTACCTGGCACAAGGAGCGGGGCAAGTAGCACGGGCTATGGTGAGCCCGTAGCGGACTTACCTGGCACTGGAGCGGTGCCCCTGTGGTGCGGGCTTGCTTGTTGCCCTCTTTTATACCTGTCCTTTCCGGGTCAGTTTCTGAACCAGGAGACTAGACGTGTTCATTTGTGTAGTTGCCAGATGCTACCTCTTAAATAATTAATACTTCAGTTTACCTTATATAAATTTGTTGCATTTTTATTGATGTTATTTGCATGTTGAATTTTATGTTTCATTTCATCTTATGTCTGTGTGAGAACGATTACTTTTCTCATTAATTAGTTTTATGTAAAAGTACACGTTTTCCATCCCCTGTCCTGGACGGAGAGGGAGGAGGGGTGTTTTGGGTAAGAGCGTCAGACACACTTCAGTAGGGAGGAGACACTTAGTCGGGGTACATCGTGTTATGATAAGTCTGTGATTCCTATTTTTGTTTTGTTAAAGTAGATAAATTATCTGGTGAGACTACATATATATATATTTCCATGTGATTATAGCCAATCTGATTATATTGTGATATTGAAATGAATAAGTTTTGTATTTACTAGAACTTGCATATTTTTATTTTATATTACATATATATATTTTTATGTGCATGTTTCTATATCCTATTTTTGTGATATTCTTACATTTGTACTGGCTTAAGGGGCGCTCTGGTATATCGTGTTTTAGAGACAGTGACTTACCCCAACAGAAAACAAGCAAACTAGTGTGACGTCACACGTCGCCGCGCCGCTGTCTGCGCAGACCCTTCACACCAGCTACCCACACCTCAGTTCTGAGGCTGGATGTCAAAAACACTAAAAAAACGCCGACCGGAGGGAGGGAGGGAGGGATGCCAGGGAACCTCTGGAACTCACCCAGAAAATGGCGTTTCATTACATTCAACGCTGGTTTTCTGGGGGGGAGCCCTGTCGGCTCCCCGGAGCTAACTACCCACAGACAGAAAAAGAGGGACTTACCCGGGAGGCGGTCGTCGCTCACTCCTCCACTCAAAGTCGAGACAACTGGCTGCAACCACCGACCCAACGCAACACAGGCCCAACGGGGCCCAGGGACATTCACGAGGTAACGAGTAGCCAGGACCCTGTTTGACCACCAAAAACCCCGCACCCAAATGTCAGTCCAAGACATATTTCCAAAGACGGCTGCAAGAGCCGCGAACTTACGGGCGTCATGGGCACGGGGATAGACTGCAGGCTGGCTGGATTTGATAACCCTGCGGACGACCTGGGAGTCCCCGAACAGGGAAGAAGGGAAACCGAATCAAAGAGACAAAGCGCGTCCACGGACACAGAAACCGTGGCGCGCAAATAACAGCGAAGTGCCGCAACTGGACACAAAGCATGATGCACCCCCGGCCTAACCAACTAAGCATCAACCACCCACGGACCCCTCCAGAACACAACAGTCTCCTTTTTTGCCAGAAAAGAAGGAGATGGCTGCAAGCGAACAAAAGAATCTCCACGACCAAAAGAGCAGAAACCCCTGCGCCGAAGGAGAGCATGAAGCTCCCTGACCCGACCCCCAGAGGCTAATGCCAACAAGAAAAGAGCCTTTGAGAAACAATCCTGGACCAAAGGAGCCACAACGAAACGAGGAGACGAAAGGTAAGCGAGCACACTGTCCAAGGACTAGGACGGCTCAGGCGGCTCATGAGCAGGCCGGAGGTGAAACAAAGCACGAGAGAGCTTGCGAAACGGCACAAAGTAACATCGATACTGAAGGCAAGCTGAAGCGGCTCCATCAGCGTCGCACGATACGAGGCGACAGTGTTAGGCATAAGATGACGGTCCTCAAACAACCAAGAGAGAAAGAACAAGACCACCTGAACAGACAACGAACTAACACGACGAAGACGCAAAAAGAAACAGAAGGACCGCCGGGAAACTTCATAGTGCCGCCAAGAAGAAGCCCTCAGGTGGGACACTAACAAGGGGAAGGACGAGGAGGGGCAGACTGAACCAGGATCGAAGCGACCCCCACTCCCAAGTCCGGGTCTCAAAAAGCAAAGCGGGGCAGCCAGGTTGAGCAACCAACCGAGCGCATTGCAACAGACGAAACCTAGCTTGCAATGCACGCGCCGCCTATACCCGAATAGAATCATCAGAGGATTGGGTATATTGAGTCACAAGCAAGCAAGAACACTCACAGGACTCAGGGTCGAAAGTATCACCGGCCCAACAGGCAGCGTGGCAGAGGCAAAAACAATGAGGGTCAACCCGAGACAAGGGGACCGAGCAACCCTCAAACTCGCACGCAGCGAGTGGGGACTTCGGGGTCACATCCATCAAACCCACGCGCCCCCTAGGGGATTCCCAGGGTCCTGAGCATTTACTTTAAGAGGACTCGGGCTCAGGTAGTCCCAGGCAAGGTGCTGCTAACCGGCGCCCAAAACTACCAAGCAAACTTCTATAGCTGTACCCCAAGGACGTGTACACCCACGGGGACCTAGCAGGGGCGCCACCAAGGAGAACCATGGAAGGGCAAACACCAGTGGAATAATAGGGCAGAACCCCCTACAAGGCAAAAACAAAAAGAAAAACAAAATCCCGCAAGAGGACAGCAAAACCCCAAGGAACTGAGCCGGCCGCTATGTCGGGAATACAAAGCTGCGTAACACCCTGCGCCCCTACCAGTGCAAAACTGCCTCTTACCTGCAGGTAACAAGGGAGAACAGAACACCCCAGGGCCCAACAGGTGGCCGAAAAACCGAACGGTAGAACGGAACAGCAGAGGCAGATCCCGAGGAGCCTGTGGAAGGTGGCCCCAAGCCCCAAGGGCAGTATTTACAGGGCACCTAGGGAAGGCAGCCCTAGGGGCATGCAGCCCGAGTACTGAAGACAACTCCTGGCTCTCGCACCCACAAAAACAAACACCACACACGAAGCACAGTGCTGTAGCGACACCGGAGCCAGAGCAGACGACCTTCGCCAATAGCATCAACCTCAAGAACTGAGGTGTGGGTAGCCAGCGTGAAGGGTCTGGGGCTCCCCCTTCCCCCTCCCGGGAAGGGGGGAGCTGCCCTCTTACTAGTTACCCCTTACTCTAGCTGAGTTCAAGTTCAAGTATGTTTATTGAGACAAGTAAAAAATACATCTCAAAGGGATAGAGTAGCTTAGGCTAGTTCTACCTCCTAAACTCTAGTAGAGACATTGAGAAACCTTTGAAGTTGTTAAAGAACCGTGTGTCTTATGTGAGTACGGGCCAATTACTGACAGCAGGAAATTTCTGTTAATTTTCCCAAGATCAGTGAATAATGGTGTATATTACAATAAGAATTTTGGTTTGAAAAGTTTGTTTTGAAAATATTTAGGTGTGTAGCCGGTAGTATACTGTTCTTAATAGCAAAATAACCCCTCCAAGACAATCCCAGGCATGAAATAATACAATAGTAGTATCCATCGGAGAGTTCTGTAATTCAAGAGGATCGCAGACATGAAATAATACAATAGTATTCACTGGAGAGTTCTGTAATCCAAGAGGATCCCAGACATGAAATAATACAATAGTAGTATCCACCGAAGAGAGTTCTGTAATCCAAGAGGATCGCAGACATGAAATAATACAATAGTAGTATTCACTGGAGAGTTCTGTAATCCAAGAGGATCCCAGGCATGAAATAATACAATAGTAGTATCCACTGGAGAGTTCTGTAATCCAAGAGGATCCCAGACATGAAATAATACAATAGTAGTATCCACTGAAGAGAGTTCTGTAATCCAAGAGGATCGCAGACATGAAATAATACAAAAGTAGCAACTACTGGACAGGTGTATAACCCAAGAGGATCCCAGGCATGAAATAACAGAAACGTAGCAGCAACTACTGGACAGTTGTGTAACCTAAGAGGCATGATATAATAGAGAAGTAGTATCCACTGGACAGGTGAGTAACCCAACAGGATCCCAGGCATGAAATAACACACCGTACCAAATGGATATGTTAAATAAAAGTACAAACAAAATGAGAAATTCTGGAAAACTCATCTAATAAAGGTTAATTCCTTTGCATGACATGAGACTAGTACACCTTCCAAGATGACTCAATTCTCAGAGGAGAATTTAGTGAATCAGGCATACAAGAACACTGATAATATGCCTGGTGGAGAGAAAATGGCAAAGGCATCCTATATGAAGGCACACCACAGATGTCACATGAGGGCCACATGACTATTCGAAAAGGGAAATTCAGAGGGGTTCAATATGAAGGGAAGAATGTCTTTTTTAAATATCTAGTAGTTAGCTAAGAGTACAGTACATACAAGGACCAGGATTAGGTTTTTCTCATGACCACTGCCTAGTAACCAACACAGCAATCTCATGAGATGTCTGACAATAAGTCTGTATTTGCCTTATGCACTAAGATGACCTTAACTACATGAACCAATTTACTACGAAATGTGAAGATAACCAAGATGGGTTACATATCAAGAAGAATGTTTAACATGGGGCCTGATTATGAAAATGTATAGGAAAACATCATTCAAAGATGAGAAGCATGTCTGGTAAGAATGCAGAGTAATATATAACTAACATTCAAGATGGAAAACATAGTGCAAATGTAAGAATGTAGAAAATGCATAGTTAAAGAATGAGAAACATTGCATAAAGTAAGAACGTAGAGAAAACATAATTCATGAATGAGATACATTTTATGAAATATGATTGTAGAGAAAAACAAACATTCATGAATGAGACACATTCTAAAGGTATGGGCCACCTTTGAATCGTGCTTTTGTCCACATGCTTATCAACAAGTCATGTTCTGTCGTTGATGACAAGAATATTTTAAAACTGCTTTGAGTAGAAACTAATACCTGTAGCTGTATAAGAAAAAATGTGCCAACTTTTCGAAGACCACAGAACCTGTGTTTGATGAGCAAGATGTAAGAAAGTTTTTATAACAAGAGTGATGAGTGTGTTTGATTAGTAAAGTGTGGGAAAGTTGTCACAGCAAGAACCTGACGAGTGTGCCTACGGAGAAACTTCTGGTAAATTAATTTCATGTGGACAATAGGCTTTAATTATTAGATATATCAGAGAAGGAGGAAGAGTTTTGCAAGCTTCCCAAGAACTGTCGTAGTGGTACAATTCATTCGCTAATGGTTCCACACTCTCCATAGCCTCTACCATCTTCTCTAAAACATATGTAGAAGCAAACATTTTTTTTCTTCAAGTTAACCAGGTCAGCAATTCTCCTTGGTGCACTTTCTTTATTACAGAATGTGTTCACAGCCTCAGCAAGTTCCAGAATTTCCTCCCAGTTATTTGCACTGTGTCCAACAGTTCTTTTTCTTATACAAGGCACTAACAAGTTTTGGTATATGGTCAGCTTGCAAGCAATAGTCTTTATATAGAGATATTTTTCATTAAATTTCATTTTGTCTTCCAAGTCGAGAAATTTCCTGAAGGACAAATAAATAGACTTAAGCTTCAATAAGGTTTTCACCTCATCAGTTTCCCAGTCAGAATGTTTTACTAAATCAGCTGCAAGGAAAATCATGTCATTAAATGTTTTTTCTATCTCTTTCAGGTGTGTTTGCAAATACATATGAAGGTCATATTGAGCATCATCAATTGCCTGTCTTTGAAGAACTTCACTGTTAGCAGTTCCATTGATGGCACACAGGTGCTGGTCTACCGTGAAGGCATCCGGCAACGTAACCTCTTCCCTGATAAGGCACTCTAAAAGTTCATTTTGGTAGAAGTTGTACAAGGATGTGAAATAGCAAATGCAGAGGTTTAGAAGAGCTAGGGAAGGGGGGGGGGGAGAATAGAGGAGGGAGGACAATAGTATATGAATGAGGGAGGGTACGTCGTGTTGGGGGGGGGGGGGCAGTGAGGGGAATGGTAGGTGTGGGGGGGGGATGGAATATGGGGAGGGAAGGTGGTTGTGGAGGGAGGAGGAACTATCAGGGAAAGTGCCAAGCCATTACGACTACAGTATATAGCACTTGGAAGGGATCACCCCTTTAAAAAATAAATAATAAATAAAATAAAATGTTTATTTAAGTAAGGTACATACATACAATAAATTTTTACAAAGATTGGTTGACTTATAGGTAGAGCTAGTACATACAATGCCTAAAGCCACTATTACGCAAAGCGTTTCGGGCATGATAAACTTAAATGACAAGCTTAATACTAATTGAGCATAATGAGTAGAATGAAAACAAGAAATGAAAACATAGATGAAAAATCAGCACAAATACAATTATGTCGACAAACAGCACTCTTTAAAAAAAACAACAGACATTGGTTGACAATAGAAGGGTAAGGTAGGTTACAGGGAATTTATTAGGTATAGCTTCGTTTTTAACTTAAACTGGTTGAGAGAGGTACAGTCTTTAACATGGTTGGGAAGGTCATTCCACATTCTGGGCCCCTTGATTTGTAGAGCATTTCTAGTTTGATTAAGTCGTACTCTAGGAATATCAAAACTGTATTTATTTCTGGTGTGGTGCTCATGGGTTCTGTTACAACCTTCTATGAAGCTTTTGAGATCAGGATTGGCATTATAGTTTAGCGTTTTATATATGTATAATACACATGAGAGAATGTGCAGTGACTTAATATCTAACATATTCAGAGATTTGAGTAGGGGTACCGAGTGATGACTGGGGCCAGAGTTGGATATTGTCCTAATAGCAGCTTTGTGTTGAGTAATTAGAGGACGTAAGTGATTTTGGGTAGTAGAGCCCCAAGCACAAATACCATAGTTGAGATTTGGATAGATAAGGGAGTAATAGAGAATCACCAGGGCAGGGCGTGGTACATAATATAATATGTTCTGAAATTATTTATTTCATCAGTCAGTGATCTAGTGACATACAAACTATGTTATGAAACTTGGTATTCTCACGCCACTTGGCATTGCATTATGCCATTTGGCATAATGCATTGTGCCAAGTCGCATAATGCCACATCATTGGCATTATTTCCCATCATTAAGCATTAAGCCAATCCATTTTATATTGCCTAATGCTATTGTGTTGCTTTGCACATGGAGTCTGTTTTGTGTAGGTTTCATACGTCCTCATAACACTGCAAATACATGGGCATAAAATTCAGATATATATACATGCTTACTGCTAATTTTCCTCTCCTTGGACACAGTCCTTGTGATGTGGTCACAGATGTGTGCTAGTAACCCTCCAGACACAGTCCTTGTGATGTGGTTGAAGATGTGCTCTGTTAAGATGAGCTTACACTGCCCTATAACGTGCAAATAATCGTATACAGTACTAGAAAATCAACCTTCTTATTCCACTCTGCCAGACAAAATATTTTCCTCATAAGTAAAGGCCTAACATTCATCATACTAATCATACACTCAACAGCTTGAAGCAAGAATGATCCTATCAAGAGTAGCTCACCAACTAGTAACTGTGTAAGCAGGCTTAAATGAATAAATTTAAGAAAGAACACATCACAACTTACTCTTGCTCTTCTTCTGTTTGTGTCAGAACTTCCGTCTCCTGAGAGTAGACATGCTTTTTATCGGCATCTCTTGGTTCTGGCAACTCTGGTGTGAAAGAAAATTACTGAATAACATTAGTTCTGCTGTAATAGAAAAGTATTAGATAATATAAACTCTGGAGTGTATGGGTAATACTTGAAAATATTAGCTCTGGATTTAAATTAAAACACTGAATAATACAAGTTCTGGAATGCAGCGAAAACACTGGATAATAAAATGCCTATAAAGTCATCCTTAGCTAATGCCCTTATAAATCCGGTGGTTCACCTGGGGGACCCATTTATATTTTCCCCCTCTGCATTAATGCGTAACAGCTTCGCCCTTTTATATTTCACTCAAGGGTGTAGTGCGGCTTCTTTCAGGTTAGCTGATACTCGCCCTTGTTTTATTGGAGTATGTTTAGTGTACACTGTGTTGGGTTCATGTTCTAGGGTTCTTATACAGTACTGAATATACTGTGTAAGAACAATAGTATATGGTAGAATATGCTGTAGTGATAGTGATTATATGAGGCAGAATATACTGTAATAATAGTGGTGGTAGTTGTATGAAGAAGAATATACTATAGTAATATTGGTGGTGGGTGCATGAGTTACAATATACCATAGTACTTAACTGTAACTTTATTTGTACCTCATATATGTGCCATGAGTTGAATGGTACGTCTTGAGAGAGTAGGAGAGGTGTTGTTGATTCAAATTTGATATTTACATTGATGTAATATATAATACTGTACATGACTAATAAACCATACACACATACAAAACATACATTTTCAAGTCATAAAAATTCCTGCAGGAAATTAACATAAAAATATACTGTACTTACTAAGTACAGTACTTAGTAAGTCAGGAAATAGATACTTACTGCAGGTGTCGAGTGCTTCAGGGACCTCGAAATGGTGGTGGTCATCAAACTTGAGCTGCTTTGGCACACTAGATTTGGCACTTTTGTTAGACTTGATGGCATCTAGTGCAGAAGGGTGGGCCTCCCTGACACACTTTTTGACATATTGTGGTCCAACAAAGCGGAATATCTTTGAATTCCTTTCTTTAACAAAGATAACGTTTTCAAAATCTTCTGGTGTTGAAGAGAGGAACATCTTCAGGTTATTTAGTTGACGTCTGTGGGTGTACTTTACATATTTCCCAATAAAATTGTCCTTATCTGAATTCCTTTGTCTAATAGAGATCGCCCTTTGAAATTTAGTTGTTGAGGCAGAGCTTGACTTCGTAAGCTTCGGTTTAGTTTTGTGGGAATTATTGACAACTTGAGCCCTACTGGCATTGTTGGATGTTGTATGGCAGGCCTTATTGCCAATTGGTAATTTATCAATGTGTGCTTTACTGACAATATCAGAACTTTCTATATGGGCTTTATAGGCAAAGCGAACCTTTTTGGTAAAGTATATCTTATTGGCATTCTTTGATGTGGTATGATGGGCTTTATTGGTATTCTTTGATGCGGTATGGTGGGCCTCATTGGTATTCTTTGATGCGGTATGTTGGGCCTTATTGGTATTCTTTGATGCGGTATGGTGGGCCTCATTGGTATTCTTTGATGCGGTATGTTGGGCCTTATTGGTATTCTTTGATGCGGTATGGTGGGCCTGATTGGTATTCTTTGATGCGGTATGGTGGGCCTGATTGGTATTCTTTGATGCGGTATGGTGGGCCTTATTGGTATTCTTTGATGCGGTATGGTGGGCCTCATTGGTATTCTTTGATGCGGTATGGTGGGCCTCATTGGCATTCCTTGATGTGGTATGGTGGGTCTCATTGGCATTCCTTGATGTGGTATGGTGGGCCTTATTAGTGTTCTTTGATGTGGTATGGTGGGCCTTATTGGCATTCCTTGATGTGGTACGGTGGGCTTTATTGGTATTCTTTGATATGGTGTGGTGGGATTTTTTGGTATTCCTTGATGTGGTATAATGGGGCTCATTGGCATTCCTTGATGTGGCATAATGGGCATCATTGGCATTCTTTGTAGTATAATGGGCCTCATTGGCATTCTCTGATGTGGTGTGGTGGGCCTTATTGGCATGCCTTGGTGTGGTGTGGTGGGCCTTATTGGCATGCCTTGGTGTGGTGTGGTGGGCCTTATTGGCATGCCTTGGTGTGGTGTGGTGGGCCTTATTGGCATGCCTTGGTGTGGTGTGGTGGGCCTTATTGGCATGCCTTGGTGTGGTGTGGTGGGCCTTATTGGCATGCCTTGGTGTGGTGTGGTGGGCCTTATTGGCATGCCTTGGTGTGGTGTGGTGGGCCTTATTGGCATGCCTTGGTGTGGAATGGTAGGTTTTCTTGGTAATCTTTGAATTATCGATTTTGGCATTACTAACCAACTTAATGTTATTGGTATTCACTGATGTAGTTTGAGCATTATCAAACATTTTTGACTTATCACTGATGGTCTTACTGACAACAAATTTATCTATGGGGGCTTTATTGGCATTATTTGATGAAGTAAGGTCAACAATGCTGACAATATTTGATAAATTTATTTGACTCTCTTTGACAAGGTGGATTTTATTTACTTTCTTTGACATGGTATGACGGCCTTTATTGGCATTCTTTGATTTGTAAATGAGGGTCTTGTTGACTGTCTTATTGAAAATCTTTTTTGTTGTGAGGTGGTCTCTACTGGCAAATTTTGATGAAGCAGGATGGGCACCATTGACATTCTTATATGTAGTTAAGTGGGCCTTCTTGACATTCTTTGGTACAGCTAATCCAGTCATCGTGGAATTATTTAGCACAATGCTGTTAACCTTCTTCCTCTTATAAACACCAGAGAAGTGACTTTTCTTCACAGCAACTCCAGGTTTACGAGGACCTTGTAATTGGGGGCCATGCTCGTGGTACCTTCCTGTTTTTTAAAGATAAATGCAATAATTTAAAATGATAACATGTCATAAAAATGTACTGAGTGCAGTTAAATGTCCTCTTTTTTTGTGGGGGAGGGGGCTTGATCTCAGTAGCACTAGTAGCTTATGCACTAGCCATTACTGATCAGACTTAGACAGCAGCAGGTATCCTAAAAAACCAGCATTGAATGTAAGTAAGTAATTATCAAAAGGAGGCAACAAACCGGGAAGGCTAAGTAGCACCATCAAATGTGCAGAATAATCAGAGGGCGCTAAATATCACCAAGGATGCCAAAACGGGAACAGAAACGCATAAGGCGAACGATATCAAAAGTATCCAATTCACCAAGAATTCTATCGAGGGACAAGTGATCGCGAGGGATAGTCGGAAAGCAAGACACACGCTCGTCCTGGAAGTCAGGACATTCAATAAGAATATGCACGACCGTAAGAGGGACAATGCAATTTGGAAAATAAGGAACAGGGCGGCGCTTCATTAAGTGACTGTAAGTTGAGCGCGTATGGTCAATATGCAACCTCGCCAGAGCCGTTTCCCACCCCCGGTTACGATGGTAGGAGGAAGGCCAGGAGGACACGCGACTCTTAGAAGAACGCAGTTTGTTACCAGTAACAGAAAACCAACAATCCTGCCAACGGATAAGGATGGAGAAATGAATAATTGGGTAAAAGTCGGAATAAGGAATACCTTTACAGGAAATGGGACAAGAGCGTACAGCTTCCCTGGTGGCAGCGTCCGCACGCTCATTTAAAGAGACACCAATATGGCTGGGAACCCAGCAAAAGTCAACTGACTTAAATTTACTGGAAATAAGAAACAGTCAATGCTGAATCTCGACGACCACTGGATGGCCCGGATTAAAGGACCCGAGAGCCATGAGGGCACCACGAAAGTCAACGACAACCACGAAGGAAGATTGACAATGAGAAAGCAGGAGACGAAGGGTATAGAGAATAGCATAAAGTTCAGCTGTGAAGATGCTAGGCTCTGGAGGTAGGCAACACATATAAGTGTGCTCAGGAAAAATAACAGAGTAGCCTACACTGTCCGCAGACTTAGACCCATTGGTGAAGATGGAAATGGAGCGGGAGTGCGAAGAAAAGTGCTCAAGGAAAAGGCGTTTCAGAATCGTAGGAGGGGTAAAAGCTTTAGTGATGCGAGTTAAGGATATACAAAACTTCAGAAGAGGGGGGGGGGGGACTCTCCACAGGGGCAAGGAAGGAACAACATGAGGAGAAACATTATAAATACGAACTGAAAGAGAAACACGTAAGCGAGATAACTGGACAAAAAGGGACGTGGTGAAGAGGAACAGGAACCACAAGAAGGGTAAAAGTTAAAGCATGACATAGGCGAGAGGAAGGATGTTGCAAGGACGGCGCATGATAACAAAGACAATAGCGATCACAGCGGTCCTGGAGAGTTAGGAAGCCGGTGTCAATATACAAGCTAAGGGCAGGAGTCGAACGAAAGGCACCAGAGTTGAGGCGCAACCCAGTATGGTGCAAAGCATCAAGACGGCAAAGAGTAGAAGGAGAAGCAGATGAGTAAACAGGGCAACCATAATCGAGTTTAAACAAGACGAGAGAGGAATGTAAAGCGAGGAGAGTGCACCTATCCGCTCCCCAAGAAGTATGGGACAAAACTTTAAGGAGGGTAAGGGTATTAGAGCATTCAACTCGGAGGTAAGAGATATGGGGTGACCAAGACAAATGAGTGTCAAAGATTAACCCCAAAAGCTTAGTGGAATCCCTGTACTCAAGGGGATGGCCATAAAGCGGCAAGAGGGACGAAGACCGACATGCTTCCGAGTAAAAGTCATAGCACATGTCTTAGACGTAGAGAACCTGAAGCCATGATCGGTGGCCCAAGATGACACGGCATCAATCGCAAGTTGAAGCCATCGTTGAAGGAAAGGCGAATCATCACCCCTGACAGCAAAGGGTAAGAGTGTCGACATAGCGAGCGGAGAAGACACCAGAAGGAGGAGAGGAAAGAAGACCATTGAGGGCAACCAGAAAAAGAGTAGTGCTCAGAACACTACCTTGGGGCACACCTTCATATTGCTGAAAAGAGGCAGAGATAGTGGCACCAAGCCTGACTCGAAAGGAACGACGAGAGAGGAAGCTTTGGAGAAAGAGAGGGAGACAACCACGAAGGCCAAAAAGAATGAAGTTGGGACAGAATATGATATCGCCAGATGGTGTCGTAAGCCTTTTCCAGGTCAAAAAGGACGGCAACAACGGAGGTCCTCGCAGTAAAAGCAGTACGAATATAGACCTCCAAATTCACCAGTACATCAGTTGTGCTGCGGCACTTGCGAAAACCAAATTGAGAAGGGTAGAGGTGGTGATGGTGTTCTAAGAACCACATGAGACGAACGTTAACCATATGTTCAAAAAGTTTGCAGACACAACTCATGATGGCAATAGGGCAGAAGTCCTTAGGGGATTTCCCAAGAGACCCTGGTTTCCGGACAGGGAGGACAACGGCATCGAGCAAGTTCTCAGGGACTGACGACGACTCCCAGACCCGATTATACGGACTCAGTAAATACCGCGACGTGCACGGAGGGAGATGACAAAGCATCTCATAATGAATGCCATCGGGGCCTGCCGCCGTGCAACCGCAGAGGGCCAAGGCAGACTGAAGTTCAGAGAGAGAGAGAGAGAGAAGGGATCATTATAGGGAAGTCGGAGATGGGTGTAAAAATTCAAGGGACGAGATTCAAGAACAGGTTTACGAAGAAGGAAAGATTGAGGAAGATGAGAACCAGAGCTAACAGATGAAAAGTGGGAACCCAGTTCGGTTACGACCTGCAACGGGTCCGTCACAAGAGTATGATGGAGGTGAAGGACCAGCAAGACATCGGGAACGAACTTACCCACTATCTAGCGGGTACACTTCCAGATCTGCAGCAGAGGAGTTTCCTCTGGGGAAAAAAGTAAGGGGACAAAGGGAACATCAGAGTGAATCAAGAGAGCAGAAGAGTTAGGAGCCCCAGCAACAGCGGAGGGGAGGGGGGGCTGGTGAGAAAGGAATAGCCACGAAAACAACCAGGACGAGCACCAAGCATCGGCTCCTGGAGACAGACACAGGAGCAAAAACAGTGAAATCAGAAGTTGGAGTGCAAGGAAATTGGAGTAATAAACACGAATGTTCCACTGAAGAATAGACATCGACAAGAAGAGAAAGGGCAGCAACAGAGAATAACAAAGAAACAAAGGTGAAAAGGGAACACAGCACGTTAAAGAAGTGCAGGATTAGGATCAGGGTCAGCGAAGTCAGGGTTAGGGGTCATGGGTAAACCGAGTCAAGATGGAGGGAAGGGAGCGGGAGGACAGACGGAGGGTCCGGAGGAGGAGGAAGAGGAGGAGGAGGAGGGGGGGGGAAAACCGAGGGTCAAGGACATCAGCAGGAGGGACAGAAACCAGGGAGTGCACCTCAGCAAGGGCAACAACCGAGAATGAAGTGGGGGGGCCAAAGAAACCTCCATAGCAGGAACAGGGGGCGCAACCACCGAAACGGGAGGGGATAGAGTGAAAGAGTCAGAGGTAGGGGGTGAGGAAGAAAGCAAAGCCTTCTTATCCGCCAGGGAGGAGGAAGGAGAGGAGCCAGGCTTTCGCTTCTGACTCAAAGAGACAGGCGTCCCAGCAACAATGTACTGGGCAACAGATTCAAGTGTCTCAACAGGAGAAGCAGAACGAGAGCAATTATGATGGCCATTGGGAAAGCGATGGACATCAGCCCGCACTGACAGGCGACGTGGAGAGTTAAGAGACAGAGGAAAGGATGGGAAGGAGGATCGGAGGGAGACGAGGAAGAAGACACAGGAGACATGACAGACTGGGTAGAAAGAAGGGGAACCCCAGACAGAGAGGCATGAGGGGGACCCTTTGGGACAGAACTCAAAGGAACAGAAGAGGAGGCTGTGGGCGTGTCTGGGTCTAAAGCCTGGAAATGGTTGTGAGACTGAGGAAGGCGGGAAGGACGAGGAGAGGAAGAGTGCAACACGCGAGCATAAGAGATGTTAGCGTAAGGTGGGAGACATCGAACTTGGTGCCTCGCCTCAGGAAAAGACAAACGTTCCTGGTACTTCAAGTTGAGGACGGCTGCCTCAAGCTTGTAATGTATACACGCGTGGGAGAAGGTAGGGTGGGTCTCGCCACAATTGAGGCAGCGAGCCTGGGAAGAAGTGAACTCCGACTTAGAGTGACCTTTGTCCCACACACAGGACAGAGAGAGACAGTACCGGAGCAGCAGAGGGCTCCATGCCCAAACCTCCAGCACTTATTACAGAGCCAAGGAGAGGGAATGTACTACAGACGGAGCACCTGGCACCTGCAAGAATGACAGACGGCGGAAGGGTCCTACCATCAAAGGTAATCTTCACAACCCGAAGGGGGTTGACAGCGACGACCACGAGGGGAAAGAGTAAACGTGTCTACCTGTAGGACAGAATGGCCCTGGCCTTCGATGATATGCCGAATATCTTCGTGGCAGTCCTGTAGATTCCGAACACCGGTTGCAACATTGGGTGGGAGGAGAAGAGTGCCAACACTGGTATTCAACCTAGTGTTCTTGGAGAACCGAACAGGGATCTTGCCAAGGCAAGATAAGGCGGCCAAGCGGGAGACTGCATCCTGAGAAGGAGCAGCAACGACATATGTACATGTACCGAGATGGGTGGGGTTGAAGGTAACAGAGGCATCTACTGAATCGACAAGGTGCCTATGGAGGGAGAAATCATCAGGAGGCATAGAATCAAGAGGGAGGAGATGAAAGTATTTGGCCCACAAAGCAGGACCAGACAAAGCTTGATACGCATCAGTACGAGAAGGAATCGAGCGAGTGTGGCTGTGGCGTGGACGGCGTTGAGAACCCCCCAGAGAGAGAAGGGTTAAAAGGCGCAGCAGTTACAACTAGAGACTGAGCCATGTTAGGGGGCAAGGTGGTCACCACTGGGGGCTTGGGGCTCGACCCAACCACAGAGGAGGGAAGGGAGCCGAGGGGAGTAGTCAGGAAGGTCAAAGGAGGAGCAAGGTTGGGGCCCAATACAGCGGGGGCTACAGAGCCCAGTCTTCTAACACAGGCCGACTCGGGGGCTTGGTTGCCCACCCCATGAGCCCGAGAAAGTATAAGAGGAACATTAATTGACATACAAACGAGGAAAGACTCATTCACGAATGTGCCCCCACACCCACCACGGAGCCACAATTAGAGGCAGGACACCCAACAAGACATATGTTGCCGATCTTGCCAGGGACCCCTAGGGGTGCGTCGTGAGTATACGCCCCACAGACGCCACCTTAAGAACCGTCAGTTTGTTGAGATTGGGTTCAGTGACGAAAGGAGGATTGACAATACTGTACAAGGGTCCCCTCGCTCGAGACGTTGGGTACTATAGCTCTATGGGTGCAAGAGTATGCCTCCTCAAACACCCGGGCGTCAAAACAAAAGAAGGCCAAAAGAATGATCAACTCAGGTACAAGGTCAACAGGAAATGATGATTAGAAAGAAGAAGAGGAGGGGGGGTTCTTCTTGAGGTTATCTTGAGATGATTTCAGGGCTTTAGTGTCCTCGCGGCCCAGTCCTCGACCAGGCCTCCACCACCAGGAAGCAGCCCGTGACAGCTGACTAACACCCAGGTACCTATTTTACTGCTAGGTAACAGGGGCATAGGGTGAAAGAAACTCTGCCTATTGTTTCTCGCCGGCGCCTGGGATCGAACCCAGGACCACAGGATCACAAGTCCAGCGTGCTGTCCGCTCGGCCGACCGGCTCCTATCCTCTTATTTTTCTCCTCCCCCCCGGGGGGGCGGGGGGGGGGGGAGAAAAATGAAACAAAAGGAGAAGTTGTCCAGCGAAATTAGTGAGGGCAGCAGCAGGAGTATAAAGCCACAAAAGGACAGAGGACTGTCCCATGGAGAAATCACACTCCGGCAGTCGCCCACCAAGCCCCCTCACGGCAACAAAGAGCCGGACAGGGAGAGGGAGCATTGAATGTAATGAAATGCCATTTTCTGGGTGAGACCTGGAGGTTCCCTGGAGCTATCCAGGCTGATACGTATATTATTAGACTTTGGCATCAGTCAGTGTAGATGGAGTTCTAGGCCTACCGGAGACCACGAGCTAGAACCTGGCCGTGCAGATTTTACTGTGCAGTTAGTTTTACTAGCTGCACAGTACCCTGCACTCCAACCAGTGCAAAAACTACCACTTACCCCAAGGTAAACAAGGAAGGAAACTCCCCCAACACACACGGGGCGGTTAATCACCAAACGGCAAAAGACCAACAGAGGTAGACCCCAAGGTGACTTGTGGAAGATAACCCCAAGGCCCAAGGGCAGTACTTACAGGGCACTCAGGAAAGAGAACCCTAAGCACATGCAGCCCAAGTACCTGTGAATATTACTCCCAGCTAACACGCCACCGTAAGAGCAGTACTGGACACAAGGCAGCACAACACAAGAGAGGATCTGGAGCCACACGACCAAGCCACAATCAAATCAGCCAAGAACTGGTGGGTGGATCGCTGGCACGGTAGGTCTGGGGCTCCCCCTGCCCCCTCCCAGGGAGGGGGGGAGCTGCACGGACATGCAGCACGGTACGTGTGACATCATGCTTGTTTTCAATTGGGAGTTCTGTCCAGTCGTTAGTCTGTTTTAGTCATTTTAACCAGAATAGGGGTTTGTTTTGAGGCGCTTACCTTTCTGGGTGCCTGGCCCGGTCGATGGCAGACATAGAATGCTCCAAATCCCATGTGCAATTCTATAGGCCATTGCTCCTCGTGCCTCTCTGAGGGGGCCAGGTTCTGGCTCGTGATCCCTGGTCCCTAGAACTCCGTCCACACTGACTAATGCCAAAGTCTAATAATATACATATCAGCCTGGATAGCTCCAGGAAGCTGAAAGGGCTCCCCTCAGAAAAACCATTCATGCCAATGTTTTTCTTTTACAAAGTTCGTTTGCAAACAGAGTGGTAGAAACAAATGAAATGTGAGGGTGGTGGGTGCCATCCTCATAGGAAGCTTTAAAAATACATATGACATTATATGGAAGATATAGCTTAAGCTTATATAGCCACAAGCCACAAGATATAGCCACAAGCTTAGCTCTTACCCTGTAACTACACCTAGCTAACTACTCATATCAGTACCCAAAATTTTCAATCAAGAGTAACTTACTGGGAGCTTTAGGATTCTTTAAGTTGCAGACACAATAATCTAATTGTTTTCCTGAAATGGCATCAACTATCTTGGTAGGGACAAAGTTGTCATAGCGATGCTCTATAATTTCTTCTGTAGAACTAGAACTATCTTTGTTTACAGGAAGGTAAACTACATTAGGCAACATGCAATTGCAAATGGAATGCTGACGATGCTTAACATTGCAATCCGAGGAACTGTTTGAGGAACTAGAACTCGTACAGGTACTCTCTGTTGAGGAATATACTTGGTTAATCATCCTGGTGCTCCATGATGGATGACTCTCTGATGGATGAACCTCAGCCTTATCATCTTTAGTACGAGTGTGATGCTTCGTAGGCTTGTTAGTCTTTTTAGCATTGTGTGAAGAATCTGAAAATCAGATTATATTTAATATACCATAGAAGTTATTGATGTGTATCTCCCTCATAAAGGAGGGGACCCAACTCATGAGCTTTGATGCACAACACACTAAGTCCAATTAGCAGTCTAGTCATTGCTCTAGTCTGGGGTCTTCAACTGGAGAATTAATTCGTACTAGAAAATATATATAGGTTGACAGGATCTGACAGTATTTTTATAATAATTATTCCACAATTATACACAAAAATTTAATTTTATAATTATGGAATATTAACATTAATAGTAGAAGTATTAATTACTATTAATAGTAGAAGCAGGAAGGGAAGTATTGGGTCACGTGAATAGAAATGTCCAAATCTAGGCTGTGCCTTTGAAACTTTCCTTGCTGTCTTGTCACCCTTGACAGATCACGATGCTAGTGGAGAGCAAAGATTAATCACACAACCAAAGCGAACTGCCCACTACAACACACACACACACAGGAAACATCTACAAACACAAGATTCCTCCTGGGCTACTACACATTCCAAAATTAGAAAAATACACTACCGCCACACAACTACCTCCATCCATTGACAGGGGGGATGGCCCTAACAACCAGATTCAGGGGGAGGAGAAAACAAGGTTAAGCCTGTCTCACTCTTAAGACTCTGGAAAGACAGGGGCCAACAAGCAGATATTGGGAGCTTCTGAGGTACCATCCAGGAATGAGCTTTTCATTACATTTTCAGTCTCCGTGGTGTAGTGGTAAGACACTCGCCTGGCGTTCCGCGAGCGCTTTGTCATGGGTTCGTATCCTGGCCGGGGAGGATTTACTGGGGCAAATCCTTAACTGTAGCCTCTGTTTAACTCAACTGGGTAGTAACAACGATTCTTCGCAGCGGGGATCGTATTCCAGGGACCTGCCCGAACGCTACGCGTACTAGTGACTGTCAAGAATGTACATTCATTGCTGTATTTCTGGCAGCTACTTTGGTTTCTCCCCCTAGCTTCCTCCCCGCAGTGCAATAAAGAGTTATGGTATAAAACTTCAATATAAAACAATAACCTAAATAGGATCTTACCAAAAAAAGTAGAAGCAGACAATTCAGGGTGTAGTAGGCAAAGACATTAGACCCAAGTGAAATGTCCAAATGTGACAGTGCCACCAAGTATAAGTCAGGTCTGGTTTTATTTATTTTCATTTATTTATGTACTGTATATATACAAGAGTTCTTACATTCTTGTACAGCCACTAGTACGAGTAGCATTCCGGGCAAGTCCTTAATCCTATGTTTCTGGAATATGACCCCGCGAAAAATCGTTTAACAACTAAGTACCCATTTTACTGTCGAGTTAAACTGAGGCTACAGTTAAGGATTTGCACCCAGTAAATCCTCTCCGGCCAGGATACGAACCCTGGACAAAGCAGGTATGTAAGTGCTGGCAAAATCCTGTTAGATCTCTAAAAGACCCCAGGTCCTCATATTGGCAATGAGACTCAAAATTAACCAAGAATACTTCCATACATGCTTCCATAGGTCAAGAATGTGTGTAAACAAGCTCAAGGCTGAACGAGCTTAACCACTAGTTAATATTCTAAGAGAGTTGAGCTGTAGTGGAAGGAGGCATAATGCTGCTTTGAGAGAGAGAGAGATGAAGGCATACCCATAATGTTCTGGAGGTAACAATATTGTGAGGGAAGGGAGAATGGTGGGGGGTTAGGAAGTGTGAAGGAGGGAGGGTGGCAGAGGGTTTGGTGAAGAGAAGGTGGTGAGGTCTTGATGGTAAAAGGGAGGCAATTCTTGGTGGTGTGAGGGAGAGTGATATAGGTCCAGTAGTTTAACCCTTAGACCGTGCATATTACTACGAATTTAGGGAGCATAACATCGAAAAATATTCAAATTATGTAAAAATAACTTAAAAACGTTAAACAAATCTCCAACTTATTGGCTTCAGAGTCTTGAAACTCTCATAAATATATTTTCAGAAATTGATTTTAGACGAATTTTTGAAAAATAAGAACAGCGCATAATAACTGTAACTGAAGGATTATGCAGTAATAAAGAGATGCAAGCACCTGTCCTATGCTCAAAGAAGAAGAATAGTAGTAAGAAGTGTCCACAAAGTGGATATTTAGTTGGTGCCTTTATATCATTGCCAAGTAATACATATTAACACAAAACATAATACTGTATATAACTATGTTAATATGATCTATTTTGTTATATATCATATAAATACATTGTCCAATGTTAATATATATTAATTTCATCAATGTCCCAAAAATATATTTGGCAGGGGGGGGGGGATTTTTTTTTTTTTAAGATTTTACTTATTTTAACCTTTACATCCTGGAGAATGCACATGTTTGAAGATTATCAACTGATTTTATTTTAACCTTTACATCCTGGAGAATGCACATGAATTTTCATAACTATGTAGGACAATAAGGAGCAGGGCGGCGCTCCATCAAGTGACCATGGGTTAAGCGAGTAGAGCTGTTTCCCACCGCCGGTTATGGTGGAAGGAGGACGGCCACGAGGAAACACAAGTAGCTTGTTACCAGTAAAAGACAACCAAGAAGCCTGCCAACGGGTAAGGACTGAGGAATGGATAACCGGGTAAAAGTCGGAATACGGAATGCCTTTGCGAGAGATGGGACAAGAGCGGACAGCTTCCTTGGCAGCAGCATCCGCACGCTCATTTAAAGACACACCAATATGGCTGGGAACCCAACAAAACTCAACCGACTTAAATTTACTGTGAACGAGAAACAGCCAATGCTGGATCTCGACAACTACTGGATGAACCGGATTAAAGGACCCGAGAGCCATGAGGGCACTACGAGAGTCAACAACAACCACAAAGGAAGACTGACAACGAGAAAGCAGGAGACGAAGAGCATAGAGAATGCATAAAGTTCCGCTGTAAAGATGCTAGTCTCCGGAGGCAAGCGACACATATAAGTGCGATCAGGAAAAACAACAGAGTAGCCAACAACTTAGACCCATCGGTGAAGACAGAAACGGAGCGGGAGTGAGAAGAAAAGTGCTCGAGGAAAAGGCGTTTTAGAACCGTAGGAGGGGTAAAAGCTTTAGTGATACGGGTCAAGGATGTACAAAACCGCGGAAGAGGGACCCTCCACGGGGGCAAAGAAGGAACAACACGAGGAGAAACATCAGAAATACGAACGGAAAGAGAATCCTGTAGGCGAGATAACCGGACAGAAAGAGGGAGGTGGTGAAGAGGAACAGGAACCGCAGGAGGGGTAAAAGTTAAAGCACGACAGAGGCGAGAGGAAGGATGTTGCAAGGACCGCGCAAGATAGCGAAGACAGTAGCGATCACGGCGGTCCTGGAGAGACAGGAAGCCAGTGTCAACATACAAGCTAAGGATGGGAGTCGAACGAAAGGCACCAGAACTGAGGCGCAACCCAGTATGGTGCAAAGCATCAAGACGGCGAAGAGTAGAAGGAGAAGCAGACGAGTAAGCAGGGCAACCATAATCGAGCTTAGACAGGACGAGAGAGGAATGTAAAGCAAGGAGAGTGCGCCTATCTGCCCCCCAAGAAGTATGGGACAAGACCCGAAGGAGGGTAAGGGCCTTAGAGCACTCAACACGGAGGTAAGAGATATGGGGAGACCAAGACAAACGAGTGTCAAGGAATAACCCCAAAAGCTTCGCGGAATCTTTGTATTCAAGGGGATGACCATAAAGTGACAAAGAGGGACGAAGAACAACCCGTTTCCGCGTGAAAGTCATGGCACAAGTCTTAGAAGTAGAGAACTTGAAGCCATGACCTGTGGCCCAAGACGACACGGCATCAATTGCAAGTTGAAGCCGGCGTTGAAGGAGAGGCGAATCATCACCCTGACAACAAAGGGTAAGATCATCGACATAGAGAGCGGAGAAGACACCAGAAGGAAGAGAGGAAAGAAGACCATTGAGGGCAACCAGAAAAAGAGTAGTGCTCAGAACACTACCCTGGGGCACACCTTCGTATTGCTGAAAAGAGGGAGAGAGAGCGGTACCAAGGCGCACCCGAAAGGAACGACGAGAGAGGAAGCTGCGGAGAAAGAGAGGGAGATGACCACGAAGGCCAAAAGAATGAAGTTGAGATAGGATATGATAACGCCAAGTGGTGTCGTAAGCCTTTTCTAGGTCAAAAAGGACGGCAACAACGGAGGTCTTCGCAGCAAAAGCAGTACGAATATAGACCTCCAAGTTCACCAGGACATCTGTCGTGCTGCGGCACTTGCGGAAACCAAATTGAGAAGGGGAGAGGAGGTGATGGTGTTCCAGGAACCACATCAGACGAACGTTAACCATACGTTCAAAGAGTTTGCAGACACAACTTATGAGAGCAATAGGGCGAAAGTCCTTAGGGGAAGTACCCAGAGACCCCGGTTTGCGAACAGGGAGGACAACGGCATGACTGACGACGACTCCCAGATCCGATTATACAGACTCAGTAAATACTGAGACGTGCTCGGAGGGAGATGGCGAAGCATCTCATAATGAATACCATCGGAGCCCGCCGCCGTAGAACCGCAAAGGGCCAGGGCAGAACGAAGTTCAGAGAGAGAGAAGGGATCATTATAGGGAAGCTGAAGATGAGTGCAGAAATCTAAAGGACGAGACTCAAGGACAGGTTTACGAAGAAGGAAAGATTGGGGAAGATGAAGACCAGAGCTAACAGAGGAAAAGTGGGAACCCAGTTCGGAAGCGACCTGCAACGGGTCCGCCACAAGAGTATCATGGAGGTGAAGGACCGGTGAAACATCGGGAACGAACTTACCCGCTATCTTGCGGATACGCTTCCAGATCTGGGCCAGAGGGGTTTCGGACGTAATTGTTGAGACATAAGATGCCCAACATTCACGTTTAGCCGTACGGATGGCCCTACGGGCCACCGCACTCGCTTTCCGAAAGAAAAGAAAAGAATCGGTCGTCTGCCTACGGCGGTGCCTCTTCCAGGCTGCACGCTTACAGCGGACAGCCCGAGCACAGTCCGCATTCCACCAGGGAACGCACTTCCGTGGACCCCGAGAGGAAGAGCGAGGAATAGAGCGGAGGGCAGCGTTGAAGACAGTGTCATGAAAAAGGAGGAGAGCGCGAGAGAGGGGCAGAAGGGAGAGGTCAGAGAGAGTAGCACTGAGGGAAAATAGGGTCCAGTCCGCCTTAGCAAACTGCCACCTAGGGAAAGAGAGGAAAGGGCGAAAAGAGAAAAAGGAAACAAGGATGGGGAAATGATCACTTCCATGGAGGTCATCAAGAACCTGCCACGTGAAATCTAAGTAAAGAGAAGAAGAGCAGAGAGAAAGATCAAGACAAGAAAGAGTGCGAGTCCGAGAGTCCAAATGAGTGGGCTCACCAGAATTCAGAAGAGACAGGGAAGAAGAGAGGAGAAACGGCTCAAGGAGGCGACCCCGGGTATTCGTCAGAACGTCACCCCAAAGAGAATGACGACAATTGAAGTCACCCAGCAGGAGCACAGGCTCCGGCAAGGAGTCTAGGAGGTGTTTCAAATCAGGAAGAGAGAGCGGGACACTCGGGGGGAGATAAATGGAACAAACTGTGTACCATTTCCCCACAAAGATACGAGCAGCAGAACAATGGAGAGGCGAAGGAAAAAGTAAAGGAACAAAGGGAACATCAGCCCGAATCAAGAGAGCAGAAGAATTAGAAGCCCCCAGCAATGGCTGGGGGGGGGGGGGGAGAGAAAGGAATAGCCACGAAAACGACCAGGACGAGCACCAAGCATTGGCTCCTGGAGACAGACACAAAGGGGCGAAAACCGCGAAATCAGAAGTTGGAGTTCGAGGAAATTGGCGTAATAACCTCGAACGTTCCATTGAAGAATGGACAACGACGAGAAGAGAAAGGACAAAAACAGAGAACAAGGAAGAAACAAAGGCGAAAGAGCAACAGAGCACGTTAAAGAATATCAGGGTCGGGATCAGGGTCAGCAAAGTCAGGGTTAGGGGGCATGGGTAAACTGAGCAAAGACGGAGGGAAGGAAACGGGAGAACAGATCAGAGGTGGGCGGGCAGGGTCCGGAGGAGGAGGAGGAAGAGGAGGAGACAACGGAGAGGAGCAGTCAAGGACAGCAGCAGGAAGAGGGGAGTAGAAAGAGGGGAGCGAACCCCAGCAAGAGCAGCAACCGAAAGGGAAGCAGGGGCCAAAGAAACCTCCATAGCAGCAACAGGGGGCGCAAGCACTGAAACAGGAGGGGAAGGAGCAACAGAGCCAGAAGGAGGAGCTGAGGAAGAAAGCGAAGCCTTCTTTCCCGCCGGGGAAGAGGAAGGAGTCAACAAATAAGTCAGTCACATCTAGAAAAACTTGGGACTTTTTTAATTTTTTTGCTGAACCTGGCGCCTCGCCTTTTTTTTCTGATTTCGGGAGAAGGTAGGAACCGCAGTTCTGGGGAGAAGCGCATCGACTTAGAGTGACCTTCGCCACCACACACAGGACAGAGAGAGACAGTCCCGGAGCAGCGGAGGGCACCATGCCCAAACCTCCAGCACTCGAGGAGAAGGAATGTACTCCTAGAGTGGCACCAGCAAGAATGACAGAGGGTTTTCAAAGGTAATCTTCACAACCCGGAGGGGCTTACCACGAGGGGGACGAGTAAACGTGGAGTATGCCTCCTCAAGCACCCGGGCGTCAAAATAGAAGAAGTCCAAGGGAAGAACCAGAACGAGCAAAAGGTCGGCAGGAAACGGCAAGCAGATAGGAGAAGAGGGGGGAGAAAAACGAAACAGAAGGAAAAGGAAAAGATGCCCAGCAGAATTGGAGAGGACGGCAGCAGGAGCACAAGGCTTGAAAAGGACAGAGGACTGTCCCAAGGAGCATCACACTCCGGCAGCCGCCCACTTAGCCCCCACACGGCGACATCGAGCTGAGCGGGGAGGGGGGGGGTCAACAAATAAGTCAGTCACATCTAGAAAAATTTGGGACTTTTTAATTTTTTTGCAGATTTTTTCTCTGATTTCAAACTCTATTTTTTTTTGTCTCTTTAGGTTGTATTGATGATTAAGGACCATTTAGGGCTTTTTCACTTATATAAAGGATACCCTAAATATATCCCTAAATCATTATATTTATTATAATTATCCCTATATTTTGTGTTTTTTGGGTGTTATTTTTTCTTGACTTCATTTCAACACACATTGACCTACAACTTTCACATATTTGAGTACGAATGCAAAACAATATTTAATAAAACATACAATTAAATTAACAAATTAAAACTACTTTTATTCATTGTTGATAACTTCAACTTCAATTATCTCTGAAACCAGAGTTTCAACTTTAAGTGGCTTCTAAAATTCCAGTTATTAACAGATTCTCACTATTTTGACTCTGCTGTCTGTTCTACAATCCCATCAGAATGGATTTTTCATAAACTTTATACATTTGAGTTATTATTTTTTTTGTCTAAATTTGCTGCATATTTCATATGTCCTATTGACGATTTTTTTACAGTAAACTATACTAAAAACCTATATTCTAATTTATTGAAAATGAAGATCATATGCTATTCTGAGAGAATAATAACATTAAATGAACAATTAATGATAGTTCATATTTTTTATTCTGAACTGAAAATCTGAAGATTTCAATATTCAATTTTAAAATTTATTTTGATTCTCTGGTTTTTCAAGTTACACTGTGATCATTTATACAAAGTTGGAGCATTTGCCTAGTTGATTATGCAAAAAAAAAGTGGAAAGTGTTTGTGCAAGTTTTAAAAACTTATCTTAAATTATTTTTTTGTCCTATCATGTATGTATGTATTGTGCGGTCTAAGGGTTAAGGGTGAGTGGGTGGCAGGGTTTAGTGGTATGAGGGTGAAAGGGTGGCAGGAGCTCTGTAGTGTTAGAGTTAGGAGGTGGAGGCAGCTTGGTGGTGTGACGGAGAGTACCTTCCACCACCATGCAATCATTGGCTTCAGTTTTGAAATCCATAAGAATGTGACAAAGAAGCAGTATGGCAGTTAAATTAATGATATAAATAGTCAGGCAAGCAGTAGATCATACAAGTGGTCTGACAAGCCAGTCACCAATAGTCTGTCAAGTCACTCATAAATAGTCTATGAGGTCAGCCATCAGTAGGAAAGTCAAGCAAGCAAGGAGTCACATCCAGTCAACAGACGCAGTCAATGAAACAGACACAGTCAAGGTTAGGGTTGTTTGCCCATAGCAATGATCATCTGATTTGTTAACCTCAGGATTTATTTACCTCGAAGCAGCAGACTGTTTTGTTCTGCTTAACCTTTCTGGTGGGTTTTCTCGGTATCTCTGATCCTATAAGCCTCAGGTCGGCTACACCAACATGAAAGCTACAGGGAGCTACTGAGGAAGTCTCTCAGAAAAATACATGAAAGTAACTATGGTAATAATAATAAATATTTTTAGATGAAATACTGTACTACAGAAGAATCAAATCAAATGTATATGCAAGTTAAAAATTTACAACAACAACAACAAAACACTAGTCTTGAAAAATGACTATACAAAATCAAACAAAATGCAGTAATGACAAGCATGAAAAACCTGTAGTGTAAGAGTTAGTGATCATGGTGGTGTCCTTGGTGTCCTTAGAGAGGTGGCTCTTAGAAATAGCAGTAGTACTGTGTGAAGTATTACTCTTATCCTTGGCTGCTCTATCTGATGTGCCCTGGGAGCACTTTGTGGACTCATCCTGTACAGAAGAATCATCCTCACTGATAATCATTTCATATAAAAGCTTGGTCCATTTAATGAAATAATCCTCATCGATGTCGACGTTCTGTGTACCAGGACTTCCCTGTTCGTGATGCCTTGGTATTTTGCAGCTGTACTGGGAACACTTGTCTGTAATGGCAGCATACATTAGTGCTCATTGTAATGACTGGTATGTAATGCCAAACTTTTGTTTTATTAAGATCAATGCCTTGTTTTACTTTTTAAATGTCAGTTTTATTTTATATATGACCAAAATCATGTGTTTTTTGGTTGATTGGCTGAATTCCTGGAGACAATAAAAAGATGTGTGGAGTCCACTGGGATTCATTCTTTTACTGAAGTGTTATAGATACATTATTGCATATGTGTTAATGTAAAATAATTCAAAGAAGTACAATAAATATAAAGGCATTCGATTACATCCCCCTTACATCATAAGCCTAACAAAAATAAATTAACAAGGCGAGTATGAGATGTCAACAAGCTGACTGATTGATTGTCATTAAGATTTATTACTCTACATACTGCACCTTCAAAAATTCAGACTACTAAGTAGATAGTGGCCTTCAGGTAAACAACAGGTCTCTTTATGTAAAGGAATCAAATCCACTTACAGAAGTTCCACTCTGAAATTCAGATTTCTAAAAACAACCCAGGTTCCAGAAAGGATGCGGTGAGAATCTGTAACATCAGTTCACACTGTTAAGTAATTTCCATCAAATCCTAATATTTCTTTATTTTGCCACTTTGATTTTTTATTTGTAAATACTATTCAAAATAATTCAATTACATTTTCAGAAATGTTTGATTAAATTTGCACTGTACTATAAATTGTACAAATGAGTTTGATCATGTTAATTCTTTTGAGGCATTTAGACCTACTATGTGCAGCGACTGTGTCTTTTCTTACAAGAGTGGTCTGACCTCTCGTTACTCTAGCATTTCCACTAGCTTCTCTTCTGTTATATTGTTATTTGTGAGCTAAAGCAAATGGATACATCAGACAAGGGTAAGAGGAACTTTCTTATGGATAATAATGCTGTGTTATTAAAAGTATGGGTTCATGGTTGGAAAAGAAAGCAGCTGGCAGAGCAGTATGGCACTGGTACTATAGTGTTGTTTCTGACATTAAAACACAGAGGAAGCCAATCATTTAGTTTGTGAATAAAACGAAGGGCAATGGTGGAAAGAGAAGCAACATAAATTCAATGAAATCTAAGCATGAGAATATGGATCATGAGGTTGATCTAAGATTAAAAAACATTGTTGGTGGTGCATGTTACGGCCCTCTCGGGACGCAACGGGGTTCTTACTCTGATGTTAGAGGAAGTTGTATCCGGCCCCAAGCCAGTAGTGGCTTTCAAGGGATGAGATCCGTGACGCAAGTAACTTAAAGGGGAAGGGAAATAAAGTCAAGAACTTAATATAATATATTGACCACCACCAATAAATAATATATAAAAAGATTACACGGGGGGAGGGGTATTAACACTGTACACAAACGTCTTCTCCTGAAGACTCTGGATCCAAGCTCTCGGTGCTAAGTCTTCGGTGCTTTCGTGGCCTCACAACGAATCCTTTGAGAAGCTGAGCCTACCCTGGCCACAGGTCAGCCAAAACACAAGTCCACTGGGGGCACCGCCGTGGAGGCCGTCAACCACAAGTCCAGCAGGTCTGCTGGCAGGTTCCGGATCAGCAACGCTGGTCAGGCCACTCCACGAACGATATTAGGGTAACGCCCTAGACAGGAGCCTCGTGTGATACCACAAATCACTCTCCTGTCCTCAATACCCCAGTGGATAATCGTCTCCAGCAGTCGGTCCCGGGTAATCCTTCTACTGCCACTCCACTGGCAGGGTAACACCACAGTGTTCTTCCGGGGGACGACTTCACAGCTGCTGCAGCAAAGCACAAGGTATGGAGACGGCTGCCTTGGGTAGACTTACTCAACTTCCATCACAGCAGTCCCAGGTCGACTCTGTAAGCAGACACGTCATCAATAACTGGGACACACTAAAACACCTCACTTACAGGCTCAGGCACAAACGCCCACCTATCCACTCCATAGATGGCGCAGTTGTCTGAGCTTCACCTCACCAGAGGTCAGCAGCGGCTGTGTTGAGCGCTGAACCGGACTGGAAACTGGCCCTCGAGGCCAGTGCACGTCGTCCTCACCAGGTGTCGTCGTCCGTTTGGAGGGGGTTTCGGGAGCTGACCCACAGATGGCGTGGTCGTCACTGCTCCGTGCTCGGACGCTGGATCCGGGTTCGTAACAGTGCACTGCCAGTAGCTACCTAAAAGGCTGGTGTTAACCATGGGCAATGAAGACTTTAAGGCCAGTTTATGGTGACCACGTTAATTTTTAAACATGTCATGACATAGTAAAGTAATATAACTGCATTTTGCTGCATTTGTGCTGCTTCTGGGTTATCATGACCAGCCATAATAATATTATTACTGCTCTACAAAAAGGTAAATGAAGATACAGTATTAACATTTCATATTTTTACATGCATAATTATTATTTATTTTTATTTAAATATGCAAGATTTATTACATTCTTGTACAGCCACTAGTATGCGCAGCATTTCGGGCAAGTCCTTAATCCTATGTTCCCTGGAATACGACTCCCGCGAAGAATCGTTTTTACAACCAAGTACCATTTTACTGTTGAGTTAAACAGAGGCTACAGTTAAGGAATTGCGCCCAGTAAATCCTGTCCAACCAGGATATGAACCCAGGACAAAGCCTCGCGGAACGCCAGGCGAGCGTCTTACCACTATGCCACGGAGATTGCTAAATCATGCATGCTGAATATATATGCATACGAAATCATTATTTATATACTGTATTAGCTTTGTCTGAACATGCTATAAATTATTATACCATTTTCAATAAGAAAACTAGAAAATCCAGTTCGAGTGAAGAATATAATCTGGATTTTATGAGACAAGCATACTAGCTTGTGAAATGGGAATATGTATTCCTAAGGCAAAGTCCAAGAATAAAACAATATTCCTGTAGCTATAAATAAATATCACACAAAGTTAGAAAAAAAGAGGTGATATGATCACTACATATAAAATAGTAACGGGAATCAACAAAATTGAGAGGGAAGAATTCCCGAGACCTGGAACTTCAACAGTAAGAGATTATAGATTTAACCTAACTTAAAAAAGCTGCTGAAGAAATATATGAAAATTCATTTTCGCAAACAGAGTGGTAGACGGTTGGAGCAAGTTAAGTGAGAAGGTGCCTGACGGCTGAGGGAACAGTGCTCGGTGTTCGTAGTCCTAAGGGTCCGGGTTCAATACCCTGCGGAGGGGGAAACAAATGGGCAGAGTTTCTTTCACCCTAATGCGCTTGTTCACCTAGTAGAAAACAGGTACCCGGGAGTTAGACAGCTGCTGTGGGCTGCTTCCTGGGGATGTGTGTGTGTGTGAAAATTAGGATTATGGACTTGCCCGAAATGCTATGAGTGCTAGTAGCTGTACAAGAATGCAAGAACTCTTGTATGTATGAATAAATATAATATATAAAATAAATGAAAAATAAATAAAAATAAAAAGATCAGTAGTTTCAAAGTGTTATATGACAAGAGTACTGGAAAGACAGGACACCACAGGCATAACTCTCATCCTCAAACTACACTTAGGTAATTACACACATCATAAAAACTAAAGGAACAACAGAAGATAACTTACCAGTTATGTTGCAAGTTTCAGCACTTTGCACACTATGATAATGAGGTACTGAATGCTTCCTTTTCCTTGAACACCTGGCCTTAATATTATTTTGTAGTGCACACAACAGATCATTTGCAATTTTTTGTATATTCTTTGAGTTGTTTAATGAATCATATTGATCAGATATAGAGTGTGTTCTCTTTGAAGGCAAGCCGACTCTCTTGATGATCTTCTTTGGGCGGTGAAATATATGGTAATATTCTGAGCTATGTCTTTTGTTCTTTGAACCCGGGCAAGTTTTCTTGGTCGTCTTTGTGTTGTGTAATGCATGATAATCATTAGAGCTAGAATTGGTTCTTTTTGAAGGCAGGTGGAGTTTTTTGACAGACATTTTCATGTCTGAACTAGAACACCTGCTCATTGAAGAGTGTTATTAAGACCTTCTTGGTATTGTATGAAGAATGTTCACAATACAGTTCAGATATAGCAAATATGATCTTCTCTAGATACTGTGGCACAGTAAAACTGACCTTTTTAAGTTTCCCTAATGTAAGAAACGATTCTTTGGAATATTAAATCAATAGAGAGAGTGTGAATTAAAACTAGCAACAATGTAAGGTATCCAGGGGGCCCTTCGGTTGTCTTCCTATGATCGTTATGCTGTCTCTATCTGTGGGTGGTTAATTTTATTATTAACTTTTTTTAAGTTTAATAATCGCAGTAATGTATACAGTAATTAAACAGTCATGACAATAATAAAGAGGAACATTAGTCAAATGCTAAGGAAAGCAATAGAGGTTTTCCTTATCTTGCTTCCCCAGTTGCATATCTACCCACACCAGTAATTTCATGAACTGTGCTTGAATGCACTATAACTATACAGTACAGTATATGGATATAAATGCACCATAAATATAACTGGATATAAATGCACCATAAATATATCTATACCTATAGGAGGTACTGTATATATATATATTTATGTGTTGTGTTATAAACACACAAAAATGTTTGTCTGTCTGTCCAGAGTTAGAGGGCCAGACACATGGGGCTAGCCACACCCAGATTTGTAGGGAGAATGGTCTGGGGTATGTATGGACATAGGCTGCTCAGGGTAGGCCTATGTTAATTACTTTACAAAATATAGCCTGTAACCAAATGCCCTGTGATTTTCATGAATTCGGAAATGAAATCGTGCATGTGTTGTCTGTAGTGTGCTGAAGTTACTCCTACTGTTCACCTATGCATTTTCACGATTTACTTTATATATAAACAGAAATAACTATTTGTTTGAGGTTGGATGGGCAATTGGAGAAGTGTAAGGAGATGGAGGTGAGTTGGAAGGTTGTTGTTGTTGGAAGTCGGAAAGTTGGAAGAGCCAGAGCTCAACCCTCACAAGCACAACTAGGTGAGTACCCACTAGCAGGTGCCAGAGTACTCGTCTAACACCGTCACCTTCCATACTAACTACCTTCGGGGTCAGGTTACGGTGCCCTCCTCACAGAGAAGGTAATTAGGGCGGTCCGTCTAATTACCACAAGCTACCACAAGCTACACAAAGCTTCCTGGCAATACGTTGGTAATGAATAAATATGATATATTTACTTATTATAATGTTGGTGCTGAATGTACAACACGAAACAACATAATTTTAATCTGAAAAAGTATCTTTTTATAAGAAATTAGACGAAAATAAAGAGCTGTTGGCGCCAAATCAAGTCGACGATCCAAGCGTCGGTTAGGTTAGGTTAGGTTAGGTTTGGTTTGGTTTGGTTTGGTTTGGTTTGGTTTGGTTAGGTTAGGTTAGGTCAACCGAACCTAACATATCATATTTATTCATTACTAACGTATTGCCAGGAAGCTTTGTGAAGCTTATATAGCTTGTGGTTGCTTGCGGTAATTAGACGGACCCAATCAGGGTACCCAGGGGCAGCCCCACACCTCATAAAGACAGGCTATTTAACACAAGGGGCACACGCACTAGGGGACACAGGTGGAAACTGAGTGCCCAAATGAGCCACAGAGATTTTAGAAAGAACTTTTTTAGTGTCAGAGTGGTTGACAAATGGAATGCATTAGGAAGTAATGTGGTGGAGGCTAACTCCATACACAGTTTCAAATGTAGATATGATAGAGCCCAATAGGCTCAGGAACCTGTACACCTGTTGATTGACGGTTGAGAGGCGGGACCAAAGAGCCAGAGCTCAACCCTCGCAAGCCCAATTAAGTGAGTACTGTACCCAAAAGGTACAGCTGCACCTGCTCCTCGCCCGCCCTCTAGCCACTCTTATGTGAATTATGAACCCTCCACTCTTCATGTATTTTTTTATGTATGTGACCGTGTCTACAAAATTATTATTATTATTTACTACGTTTGTTATTCATTATTATTACTGCTGTTACTACTTACACGGTCGAGGGATATTTACATAATATACCCTAGTTAGGCATAGAGGTCCCTGATGCTGGGTCTGTATCCGTTTTCTATTGACGTGTTCCCTGGGAGCACCGCGCTGCTCCCTGCACGAATCCCCAGTGAGAATTGGCAAAATATTAAGAAAGTTTAATTTAATTATGAAAATTGATCCGCGGATATATAAATCATGATCAAATCTGTTTGTATAATTCAATATGAAAATTTTCGAACCTTTTTATCACCTTCATTTTGGATCCAAATTAAATGATTAAAATTTGCAAATTTATTTAAATAGATATTACCTAAATTTAGGTTTGATTTCTTAATTTTTTCTCAAAAGAAAATTATAATTTTAAACAACATGTAAAACAAAACAATAAATTATGAATTTGGTAATTAATTTGCCAAATTTCACATAAAATAATCGTGATTAAATTTGGGTTATCAGTGATTCGTGGTGGGGAGGCGCCGGATGGGGGTTATAGCATACTTACCTGGCACAGGAAACACCGTGATTACGAAGGCGGTTTTCCCAAGGCGAGGCTCACCATTGCACTCTGGTGGCGCTGACCCTTGCCATTAACCCAAATGTGGTTAACTCGAGTGCGAAATTGTTGTTAGCAGGGGACTGCGTTCGCGCTATCCCCTTAATAATTTCTTAAATTGTAAAGTTTGTCGTAATAGGGCAAGCTGACCTTTCTCTCTAAGGTAGTTATAGTACTAGTACCTGTTTGTCGTTAGGTGAACAGGTGCATCAGGCGATAGGAAACTCGCCCAACTATTCCTGGGGACCATCAACCAGTAAACTACGTTTGGTCCTATTCATTTCATAGATGACCAGACATATGTACTATTATAGGCCTAGAACTGCTGGAAGCAGTTAGGTCTTATATTTATGTTGCGGTTAAAAAGACTTATTGGTTTGTCCAAATTCAATAATATAGAAGTATAATGGAGGTAATCTCAGCCCTCTGTCCTGGTGGAGTGCAGGCATATGCTCCTCTCATGAAATACATGTTTAATCAATATTTATCACGTTATATATACATCACGTTATTGTGATTTCTGTATGTATTTATAGTCATAGTGGCTTCAATCCCCGACCATCCAAGTGGTTCGACACCATTCCTAACACCCCCGTCCCATCCCAAATCCTTATCCCCCCCCCCTTCCTTATGCTATATAGTCGAAATGGCTTGGCGCTTTCACCTCCCAGTTTCCCTTCCCTTCACACTTTTCCTTAATAATTTCTTCTTCTTTCCACATAGAAGTGACCTCCGAGTCAGTCGCATATAGTCCTGGGGACCATTCAGGCTTGTTCGCATTTGTGTTCCTCACGTGTGCCCCAAAGATTGAGGTGATTTGATAAAATGCTATGCCCAAGATTACCATCCGAGTGCCGGAGGGGAAGTGGTTCAAATAGCTTCGGCTATCACTTCCTTTTGTCCGGTCGTGATGGTCAAGCGGATTAAGGCGTCCTGTAGATACCAGTTGCGTTGCTCCTGGTGGGTTCGAGTCACTTCTGGGGTGTGAGCTTTCAGTCATATATATATATATATATATATATATATATATATATATATATATATATATATATATATATATATATATATATATATATATATATATATATCAAAGACTTTAATAGGGTATTAAAAGTATCAACACAAGACAGAACAGAAACAATGGGTATTGAATAGAAGTGTTTGTAGAAAGCCTATTGGTCCATATTTCTTGATGCTTCTATATTGGAGCGGAGTCTTGAGGTGGGTAGAATATAGTTGTGCAATAATTGGCTGTTGATTGCTGGTGTTGACTTCTTGATGTGTAGTGCCTCGCAAACGTCAAGCCGCCTGCTATCGCTGTATCTATCGATGATTTCTGTGTTGTTTACTAGGATTTCTCTGGCGATGGTTTGGTTATGGGAAGAGATAACTCTCTTCCCATAACCAAACCATCGCCAGAGAAATCCTAGTAAACAACACAGAAATCATCGATAGATACAGCGATAGCAGGCGGCTGGACGTTTGCGAGGCACTACACATCAAGAAGTCAACACCAGCAATCAACAGCCAATTATTGCACAACTATATTCTACCCACCTCAAGACTCCGCTCCAATATAGAAGCATCAAGAAATATGGACCAATAGGCTTTCTACAAACACTTCTATTCAATACCCATTGTTTCTGTTCTGTCTTGTGTTGATACTTTTAATACCCTATTAATATCCTCTAGTGTTCTGTCTTGTGTTAATGCCACATCATCCTTCCCACCTCACTCAAATGTAATGCCACATCACCCTTCCCACCTCACTCAAAATGTAGATATAAAATCAGGGAAACGCAAGTTCTAATCAGTTGTGTATTTGTGAAGTCTTTGAAAATGTAATAAGTTTTACGAAACGCGCCCGTGTCGCGTCAGACTAGAAATAAAAATGAATTTTGGAGAAGTGATTTTTGATTTACCTCCAACAGTGAAGCATAATGTACGAAAGATTGAGAAAATTCGTGTTAGAATTATTAATCTTACTTTTTCGGTCATATTTAATAATATATGTCTACAGGAAAGACTGCTACCAAAATATACTAATATATATATATATATATATATATATATATATATATATATATATATATATATATATATATATATATATATATATATATATATATATATATATATATATATATATATATATATATATAACTGAAATATATATACTATTTCTAAATAGAAATATAATATATAATTCTATTTCTGAAATAGAAATATTCATTTCTATTTCTAGAAATAAAAATGAATTTTGGAGAATCGATTTTTGAATTACCACCAACAGTGAAAAGAAATGTACGAAAGATCGAGAAAATTCGTGTTAGAATCATTAATCTTACTTTTTCGGTCATATTTAATAATATATGTCTACAGGAAAGACTGCTACCAAAATATACTAATATATACACTGTATATATATATATATATATATATATATATATATATATATATATATATATATATATATATATATATATATATATGCGAACAAGCCTGAATGGTCCCCAGGACAATATGCAACTGAAAACTCACACCCCAGTTGCATATTGTCCTGGGGACCATTCAGGCTTGTTCGCATTTGTGTTCCTCACGTGTGCCCCAAAGAATGAGGTGATTTGGTAAAATGCTTTGCCCAAGAATACTATCCGAGTGCCGGCGGTGGGGTGGTTCAAATAGCCTCGGCTATCACCTCATTATGTCCGGTCGTGATGGTCAAGTGGATTAAGGCGTCTTGTACATACCAGTTGCGTTGCTCCTGGGAGTATGGGTTCGAGTCACTTCTGGGGTGTGAGTTTTCAGTTGCATATTGTCCTGGGGACCATTCAGGCTTGTTTGCATGGTCCCAAAGAATGAGGTGATTTGGTAAAATGCT